CATTTGTTGGTCCAACCATGTGTATACAGTTAAATCTGCTACATAAGGTAGTTCTTCATTTGTTGGTCTAACCATGTGTATACAGTTAAATCTGCTACATAAGGTAGTTCTTCATTTGTTGGTCTAACCATGTGTATACAGTTAAGTCTACTACATAAGGTAGTTCTTTATTTGTTTGTCTAACCATGTGTTTGCAGTACATACATACAATAGAACCTCAGTTAATTGGCACCTCGAAACAACGGGCACTGTGCCATTAAGGGCAGACCTTTTCAGTCTCTTTCTTTTTTCTTCTATTTGTAACCAAAATATATCTTGCAGTAATTGGCACCTTGATATTCTGGATTAAGGACAGTGTCTTTAATCTTGTTCTCTATACAGGCACTCGATAAAGTGGGCAGTTATCTTTGTATTCCTGTACAGTATACCTCTAAATTCCAAACTTCCCACTAGAAGGATGACCAATATTTAAATACTTGCGATGTTTATTGGATCAGCCCCAAACCATATACTGTAATAAATGCCTTCACAGATTCAAAGTGCAATGTTATTACTCTTGGGAATTCTTGTTGTAAACACTGTAGGATACATAAGCTGATAAATTCCACATTGTGTTCTTGGAGAAAGGGTCAAGTTGGTTTATTTCGTGTGCATTCTTTGTTTCTCTCGAGAGTATCATATTATGGTGTCATGTAAACAGTTTAATGACACAAGCAGCAACTTGTTGCTTTACTTTCTGTGAATTTCTACTTCAGTTATTAACTATAAAATATACACAGAAAATAAATGTGAAATGTTTAGCAGTTCAAACTCTAAAGAGAAGTACTTTGTAACCAATAATAAAGAAAGAATTCAACAGGAGGTGGATTAGATGTGCCCGGTGCTCCTTTGCATGGCAGTGTGCAACTTATAAACATTTGTGTCCTGTATACAACAAACAAAATGGGTGGGGCCTTAAGATTCAGAAATTTAGTACGGTCAATGTGGAATCCAGCTTTTTGTGATTCATTCCTTGCTGTGGAGGGCATTTGGATGCAGTCAGAAAGGTGCTCTTAATGTCGAGGTTCTACATGATATATATATATATACATATTATATACAGTTAAATCTGCTTAACCATAAATGTTTAGTTAAGTGACTTGGAAAAACATTGCATGTCAATTGTCCTTACTTAAACTAAAAATCATATTTTTGGATAACAAATAATAATATTGAGCTATAAATTATTTTATTTGTTTTTTAGTGTTTGAAGAGGATAGCTGTTTTTATTGAGGAGCAGAATGAATGTGTTTGGATTCCCCAAGGACTCTTGCTAACAGATCCTGTTGAACGTGGTCTTAGAGTGGTATCCTTCATGTAGTGGGAAAGAGAGGATTAAAATTTGAAATGTTTAAAAACCTGTCATTGATATTTTTCAAAACACTTATGTAATGAAGTAAAATGTTTTAATTCTTACATTTATAAATTTAAATGATTAATTTTTGCATATATATATATCAATATTCATATTTAACAGTTTACCTGTCATACTAAACATTCACCTATAATGGTCATAATTAATTTATTGCACCACAAATAACAGTGGTAGTGGTTAAATATTAACAGAAAATGTCGTAATTCCTTAACAGAAATTCAGGTTGAGATATCGATATTAAATGAACCTTCAGGAAGATCATGATGGACAGTGTGGTCAGGTTATTACTTTGAAAGGTGCCATGTTATGGCTCTGGAAATCTATGTAGGTACATTGCTGTTTTCCTCCAGGAAGCCTTACTTGCAGCTGTGTTGTGAATAATATTGTTGAAATCCAAAAATTGGCTCATAAGGAACTTCAGAACTTGTACATTATTTGAATAATATTGTTGACATCCAACACTGGGTTCACAGTCATCTTCAGAATGTGTACCTGTTGTAAATAATATTGTTGACATCCAACACTGGGTTCACAGTCAGCTTCAGAACTTGTATGTGTTGTAAATAATATTGTTGACATCCAACACTGGGTTCACAGTCAGCTTCAGAACTTGTGTGAATAATATTGTTGACATCCAACACTGAGTTGACAGTCAGCTTAAGAACTTGTTTGTGCTGTGAATAATATTGCTGACATACAACACTGGGTTGATAGTCAGCTTCAGAACTTGTTTGTGTTGTAAATGATATCGTAATTAAGATTGGGTTCATCGTCTACATTTGTGTAGCTTAGTTTATAAACAGAATGACAAATATAAGAAGACTTCAGTTTTACTTGCTTTCAGAGAGAGAGTGCATGATATATCTCTTTCTAAAGCAGTAGTAGTCCCTGAATTACTTAAAGATAAATTGTATAAATGAAACCTCAGTGTGTTTAATAACTATTTAAAATATAAAGTAAAAACTGCACTGCAGTTAAAAGAAAAATTAACATGCAAATAATGAGCATAATTTGAAAAAGCAAGCTTCATTGTTTGTAGAGTGATAACATAACATTACCTATTTGTTTCGTTTTTTAAATATTATCAGAGGAATGAATTTCTTTTAATTAAAACTAGAGATGTGATAATTAATTAGTGAGAAGTTTATGTTGAGAGTTTTTATGATTTTTCTGTCTGGATCTTCTTTTTTTAAAAAATAGGTACTGTAAAAAATACTAAAAGTCTGTGGTTCAGTTAGGAAAATATATTGGGCAGAAAAAGTTTTTTTTTTTTGGTTTGTTTATCAGCTTGACTCTAAAGAGTGCATTTTAAAATAAAAATCTTTGGGCATTGTACATGAATGTACAGTATTTATTATGAGAAATGAAAACTGTATACAATTACATTTAGTTTTGAAAGTTGAGAAAACTGATACAAACTCGTTCACTTTTTTCCCGCATTTGTATTATTGAACAGTATTTATTTTTTATGCAGATCTCTACTGATCAGCAGCTTATACTTCTCATGCTAGCTGCTGATAGTGGACAAATCGGGTAACATGAATACTGAAGTTTTAAGATTAATAAGAAAAGTCTGAAGTAGTGCTGTTTCATCTATATGAATGTTGAATTGATTCATAGAATTATATAACTTTTATTAACTTGTGTTTTATACAAATTGGAGAGAATGTATTTTGGGGTTTAGTTCAAAACTGCTGAAGATTGCAAGTAATTTCAGTGATTTTTAATATGTATATTTTTTGGGTTCCATCATGTATTTCTGTATGTTGAACATTATTTTAGGAACTGAAATAGGTAGATTAGTAGGGATTGTTTGGAATTCCCAAAACACAATTTCTTTAACTTGAAATCATTTTGATATATCATCAGATTTTTCAAATACTTAATGTTTGTAGTTATTTCTGTTATGTACTAGCATTAAAAATTGTTTATTACTGATACCATTTTTGAATTCTTGATATGGATATAGCAGTATGCAAGAATTTAATCGTGTACATTGAAAGGACAAAAATTTGATTACCACAGGTTTATAACGAAAACAAAGCTATGTATATTAACTGTTAGTGCTTTTCGATAACTACTTCTGCAAAGTATAATTTTAATTTTTTTCTTTACTGCTGTAGAGTATGTAAATGGTATACAATGAGAGGGTAGACCTAGTCATTTTTGAGGTTTTGTGGCTTTGTCACACAGCTGAAAGATTTGTATTATATTATATACTTTGTGAGACTATCTATCTGGAAAAAACCATTGATTGTATTTCTATCCCTGTTTCTATATTATGTGCATTCTAAACTTGTCATACAAGTCCTGCATTGTTTTCATTTACGTGGAGTTAATTTGTTTTAGTTTTTCTAAAGCTGTTTGCATTGAATATGAATTTAATCATTTTGTTAATTAAAGAAATTAGTATCAGGTTTCAGAAGAAAGGATTCCCTAAACTTGTGCTATCCGTAATACTCTAATGTTACATATTAAAATATATTAAGTGACAGCTATCAACTTGTGTGTAAGATTTTCTATAGAAACAGTGTGTGAATATTCTTCCTACAACCATACGTTTTTTTTCATACTTAATGACAGATTGCAGTGTGAAGTGTGATTGAAGTGGATAACGAATAATTCTTTTACTCATTCCTTCTTTGTTTAAGTATGCTATTTCTTTGAATACCTGTTTATGTGAGAAGGTTTTATTAACTTTTATTTAATAGGAAGTTCAAATGAACTTATTTATAAAAAAATATTTTTTAATTATTGTCATGAAGTTACTTCAAAGTCCATTTTGTTCAATGTGGTTTGTTTTAAATCTTCTTTCTGGTTATATTTCTCTGTCCCACATTATTTTTAGTGATATAAAAAATATAACATCCGAGTTTGTATTGCACTTTAGATTTATAGTGATGAATTATTGTTCTTCTATCTCTTTCCACGAGTATGGGAAAATTCCATATGAATGACAGAGAAATGTATATAGTGACAAACTGTAAGTTCAGTAAAACATTGAAACAGTTTTTCGTGTGTAAACAAACCCATAATTACTCATGTACAGTTTCAACAATCACTCCTGATGAAATACTGTGGGAACATGTAGAATTGTAATTAAAAGTCCTAATTAAAGTTTGATTGAAAGAACATGTTTGTGTTTCATTGAAATAATCGACGTTACGTATTGTTAAAAAAATTCAGAAAATGAAATTATATGGTGTTTAATCTCCTGTATTGGCATCAATTTGAGACCACTCTGAGATTAAAAGATCATTAAATACTAGTACTGTCTACTTTCCTAAACTACATTTAAAACAAAACCAAATTGTATATTTTTGATGTAAAGATGAGTTTCATTTTGTATGACTTGGGAGATCTGTAATAAACTTTAAAGTTTCTAGTCTGATTATCTGGTTTTTATTTTGTTTTATCAAATATGTAAACCACAGTTTTTAGTCAGATTACCTGGTTTTTAGTTTGTTTTATCAAATATGTAAACCACAGTTTTTAGTCTGATTACCTGGTTTTTATTTTGTTTTATCAAATATGTAAACCACAGTTTTTAGTCAGATTACCTGGTTTTTATTTTGTTTGATCAACTATAAACTTTATGAAGTATATAAACCACAGGTTTTAATCAGATGACCTTGTTTTTATTTCGACTATTCTGTATATTCTAAAACACAGTATCCTTACTAATGTGTGGGCCAGACATAACCTGAGTGTTTCACTAATTCAACTGAGTTCAACAAAGAGATAATGTTTTTTCCGTGGGTGGTAAAAATACAAACAGGCTAATGTGACATTCAGGGAATTGTTATTTTAGTACTTACCCCTTTCTTGTTGAATTTGGTTTGGTTTTCTAATTGTTAGACTGTTTGTATTTAGCAATTTGGCAGTAAACTAGATACAGGAAAACTTAGTTTTTTAACATATTGTGTAGAGCATGGACCTTGGTTAATGTGCCAGACTATGAATCTGAGAACCCCCGATTTGCACCTTATTACTGCCAAAAATAAAAGTAGAGCTTCACATTGTTTGGTCAAACTTCAATTGTAAGTTTAACGACCAAATCCCACTATTTAATTTTAAAATGTTGGCTGCAAATAGTGTTGATTAGCTGCCTTCCATCTAGTCTATTTCTGTAAAATTATGGTCTTCTATCGTGGCTAACCCTCAAAAACTCTTGTGCAAAATTCAACAACTAAACAAAATATAAATGTTGCTTAAATTCCTTCAACAGTTTTCTGAAATGTCAAAAAAAGCCAAGCAACTGTAACGTACATCTTATTTATACATATAAGCATATGTATAAACACACATATATATTACTGTTTTCTGTACTATATCATTAATCTTCTGAATCGTAAATCGTGTTTCACCTTTAAATGGGTATACGATATTATATAGTGAATAACGTCTGTTCACTATTAAAGATAAAGAGTAGGTTACGGTAAAATGTTTTGTTTCACCAATGAGTCAAACATTTAATACGTTTAAATACTCCAAAGCTGTGGAATTATTTACTTGCTTTTTGTTTTTAAGCAATCAGTTAATTAAAAGTAAACTACTATCATCATGCTTTTTAACCAGTCAACCGTGGCACTTTGTTAGTTTAAAAATTATCTCAATCACTATTTATTACGTAAACAATAACAATGCAAAACTGTTTGACCAGACTTAACCAATTTAAAATCAAAGTGTTCAAATTTGCCAGTAGGACGAGAGTATTTTACTATTTCCTTTGTGTTAAAAACATTCAAATCTTTTTCGATATTCACTTCATTAGCCAAGTTAAGAAAAAACGTTAATCACAACTCTTGAAATGAAAGTCGATTTGTATTAATACATCAAATAGGCTGGTATTAGGCATATGCAACCTGAAATACATTTAATAACACAAATTGAGGGAGACGATCAAAAGAATGACATCCGTTCAGCAGCACTGTCTCCTACAGATTTACTCTTTAAGGAGCAGCGGAATTAAGTTTCATAGTTATAACACCAATACAGATGAATTTGCGGAACGATAACGATGAGCCACACCCTACCTCAATATGTATGTGAAATATTGTTAGTTGATACAAGTTGACAAGGCTAGTATTGTACTGCTCTTCTAGTTTATTAAATGTGCAGTTACTAAGTCTATTAGTGTGTTATTCTTCTATGCCATTAAATGTCCAGTTCAAAACTCTGGCACTGTAATGTTCACCTATTTTACTAATAGCCCAGTCAGCCTATGCAAAAACGTACCTCAACATCAAACAAATTGCAACAGAAACAATGCTTCGATTTATTGTTAGAGACATGTATTGCGAAGTTACACAAGAAAGTCTAGAAAAATCTAAATGGGGGGTGCATAAAATTCATTTTCCTTAACATATCTGATGAAAATAGTATATGATTGCATATATCAAATCAAGTTGTTCTCTCATTATACATCCTTTCCATTGATATATGAATAAAATACACAAGTAGATAATATATATAATACTTAATAAGATGAACCCAATTCAATGCGTTTTAACTGAAGCCCAAATTAATGATTATTCACCTCTTTAATATGTATATATTACCTCACCCATCAAAAGAAAATCTATAACAATATTCTTTTAAATGACAGCCACATCTAGAAAATGAGACTTAACACACACACACACACACACATCTTTCTATAAACATTTGCTATATTTATTCACCAACGTTGTATTACTTGAATTAATACACAAACCAGAACCAGTTATGTAGACTCTGCGGCATTACTAAAATATATCGCACATTAATTTTAAAATATGATTAAATTCGTTATATAATTCCTTTACAACCGGACGATCCTATCTTGAAGCTGGTACATTGTCCTCTTTATATTGTATCTTCATTTATGTCAGATTCTGTCAATTGTGTTACATTTGTACAGTTAACACACCTACATTCTCCACAGCCTATAGAACACTCAATTCCATGCTTCCTACATGTACAACGTTTAGGGTTACAATTCACTTTACAGTTGCATTTTATAATTTTTAATAGGCTTTCCTGAGCTGGTGGTAAATGTGTCTTAACTGGTAATACAACTGACCATCTCCACTCTTGTGGTAACATTTTGTCATTTGAGCCGATCCAAGTTTGTACTTGAAACTAGACCCTTATGCTGCGGTAATGTGCGGCTGCAGGAGGAAGTGTATGTATCATGTTTTTCTGTACACAGAAGGTATGAATAATATATATGTATATATATATACGATATACAAAAGCCATGTGTAAATATATTTAAATAGGCATGCATAGTTTAGTTCAATTGAACGTGCTATTTATAACAATAGTAGTTTTTCTTTTCTTTTAAAAACAACTATTTATAATGCTCCCTAAATAATAAAAAAATATACATTATATACACCTGGAAAAAAGTTAAGCCCCCCCGTGTTTTTTTTCAAGTGATTCAGATTCGACGTTCTTGTG